TATTCTTTCCTCAAAGAACTCTGTTTTACATCAAGTCTTCCATATCCAAGTAAATGGAATCATCATCCACCTAGCTGCTCAGGACTGAAAATAAACATCTTCTAGGCGTCCTCTCTGCTCACTCCTCCCGGTCAATTTGCCATCAATTTATTTCTCTTCAAATTATTCCCCACATCCTTCCATTTATTTCCATGTTTACTGCCACCACCCTAGTCCAACTAACTCTCCTCTCTTTCCTGGATGACAGCAGTAACCTTTTACCTGGTCTCCTGGCCTCCGTTCTTGCCTGCTGCAGTGAGAGGTGTTGTTTCACACATCTCCATGGTAATGATGTTCCTTGGAGTTTGGACATACATGGAGGAAGACTTCTTGTCTTCCTACACCCATCATCAGCTACCATTTCATTCAGTCGACACTTATTTAAGCATCTGCTACGTGCTAGGCAGTCTGCAGGGTTCTGAGCATTTATCATGAACAACCTCTTCAAAGCTTGTGCTCTCAGTGAGCTTACCTTTGAGCTAGGGGAAGATAGACAATACGTGGCTGGATTATGTGTGTGTGCAGGTAGGAATCAATTATCAAATACTACTAAGAACTCAATTAAGATGAGGACTGAGAATCAGTGATGGAAAGATGAACAGTGACCTTGGAAGTGGATTTGTTTACAGAATAGTGGAAATGAAAGCCTTTTGGGGTGGATTAAAGAAAGAATGGGGGGTTAAGAAGCAAAAGAGGAAGATTGGGAAAGAAGTGGGAGAAACGAGGCACTGACTACAATGATTGACATATAACCCACCCCACCCCCCAAGGAGACGAACAGCAGAAACATGGGCAAAGGGAGACAGTGGGCGGTGTAAGATCTGAAAATAATAATAATTTATAGTTTATTAGGGGTCCATGAGGGTGGGAGGGCGGGGTGGAGAGAGGAAAAAGAGGAGCTGTTACTAAGGGATCAAGCAGAAAGAAAATGTTTTAAAAATGATGATGGCAACATATATACAAATGTATTTGATACAACTGATGTACGGACTGTTTTATAAGAGCTGAAGAGCCCCCAATAAAATGATTTATTAATTTTAAAAAGAATCAATGGGAGCATGTAGAGACATTTTTAAAAGATCATTTTATTGGGGGATCGTACAATCCTTATCACAATCCATACATACATCCATTGTGTCAAGCACATTTATACATTTGCTGCCCTCAGCATTCTCAAAACATTTGCTTTCTACTTGAGCCCTTG